AAGCAAATTTTCTTATGAATGCCCTAATTAAAATGTACATTAAAAGATACAGTAAAATAAAAATGAGTGTAACATGATTTGGTTTTTTGTTATAGGATAGCCTCATCAAAAAAGGAGAAGCATAAGAGACTGAAGCTGGAATTTGCCTTTGTCTCCAAAAAGAAAAAATATCCATAAAGATGTACAGTTTCCCAGATTGATTTTTAGTCTCAAGTTTCTGTTGTATTATTGGAATTCTCTATTGCAGTTAAATCTCAAAAGTGTTTCAGATCTGATTTTTAGACATATTTAGAGAAGGCCTATTGTGAAGGGGATAGTGGGAGACAGTAAAGGAGATCTATCAAAAATCTGTAAAATTCCAACTTTTTGTCAATGCATTGAGATAATTCTCTCTGAATTTTTAAAAGCATTTTTGTACACCTTCTAAAATCACCCATCTTATTAATTAATATATCATGGCTTGTCTAGTTAAAACCAAAAAGGAGAGAACTTTACATTGGTTTTGAATGTCAGTTGTTAATAATTTAACACAATTTACATTGATCGCTATTTTAAAATATCAACATTTCCCCAAAGTTACCATTGAATGACAAAAGATAGCACATTTATTTCCCTGTGCTTAGAATATCATAATCACTGTGCTTGGTGAACATGTTATTTGATTTTCCTGCCAATGAGTTTGTGATCTAGTAGTTCTGGCTGTTCTTTATCAAAAGTATCTGATCCTGGTCTCCATCATGACAACTGTAATTCAAGTTTTGGGACTGCTTTTAACAAAAGTGTCAATAATTGAATGGAAGAGAAATGGGACTCTTCTGGAAATGAATCCATAATCTTGCGCTGGGAGCCTGTTCCTAGTGGAAATAGTTATCAAGCCATCCTTCCACTAGATGTCAGGTCAGTAGAAAGATAATCAAGTTAGTGGGTGAGCACAGAGACGGAGATGCCACCAATGAGAACACACAGAGCTACCCAAATGTTTTGCTTTTTTCAGACAGGCCTGACTGTTCTGTTGGCATTTATAGTCTCATTTTCCAAAAGCACCTATATTCCCAGTTGTCAGGGATTTTCCCACCTTAGGTGGGAGAGGCTGCACACTAGTTTTATGAAGTCTCACCCAAAATTGGTGTCTAGTTAGACATAAGCTTGTTAGAAGGTCAAAACGGACTGCAGTTCCTGAAGGCTGTAAGGATCTTTGATCTGAGAAAAGTTTTATTCCTGTCTCTAAATCACTGTTGGACTTGCACCAGGGTCTGCCAGGCTATGCCCTGCTTGTTCAAGAAAGGGTCCCATCTCTTGTGATGAAAGTTCACAACATTAAATGAAACAGCACATGTAATTCAAGAAGGAGTGTAGTACTATGATGGGAGATCAAGCTAAATGAGAGTGCACAGTTCCCTCCACCCCCAACTGTAGACCTGGCTGCTGGAGTCCAACGCTGCTGAGTATGTGAAAGATTATACATTGTACAGCAGTATTCCTTCAGATTAATGTGACGTGTCCTGTGCCATCAGGTAAACTAATGTGACAAACTCCTACAATTTGCAGGTAATTGTTCTGCAGAGCACTCTTAAAAAAGAAATCTATGGGTCAGATCCTCAGATATATTTCATGAACATGCAAGCAAAGGTCAGGACTGAGTGCAAAAGTGGCATGAAGTTCACCTTTGCACTTCCCAGTCCTGGCCAAGCAGGCAGCAGGGACTGTCCCCCAGAGAAAGTTAAAGCAGCCAGAGGGCTGTTCTAAACTGTTAGCTGCCAATGGTCCCAAGGGATCAAGGCAACAGCCAAAGATCTGTGGATTGTAAAGAGCTATGACCACACCGCCTGTTCCAGGAGCAGGGAAGCTATGCTGCTAGACCTGCTATGCTGGTTCTATGCCACCACAGGATCCACTTTATACTGAGGTGAGATTCCTGGGCCTGGATTTGCTATCTGTACCAGACTCTACTGGCTTTATGGCATATAATGGCTGCACAGACCTCAGGGTAGGGTCCTAAAATTCTACAGAAACACAGCAGTTAACCTGTGTCATACAGACTGGACCAAGAGTCATTACATTTTTCATACCACTCTAGGAAGCTCTTCATACAAATTCTATAATCAGTTATGCAGGCCATTCAAAAATCTGCAAGTGCCCACATACTTGAACTTGCAGCATTGCTCATGTGTATTTAAACACTAGTTACAAATTCTGCTGATGCACAGTCCACATTTAGCATCCACGGGTGTCAACAAAGAGACAACACATAAAAGGCATCTTTTATGTTTGTTTGTTTGTTTTGTTTAAGACGGAAAAATTAGAGTTGCCGAACGGTACGTGGAAAAGAGGAATGTGGGAATTTCAATCCTGCACCAGACTCAGGGTCCATTTAGTCAAGTGTCATGTCTCCAACAGTGGCCAGCACCAGATGCTTCAGAAGAAGGTGCAAGAAACCTCTGATTAGGAGATGTGGGATAATCTGCCCCCCACATTAGGTCTCCTAATTCTTAATAGTTAGAGACTGGCTTACACTGTGAAGCATGAGGTTTAATATCTCATCCAACGTCTATTAGCATTAACTCTTGTAACACTGCTTATTATCTATATAAATGCCCAGTCACCTTTTGACTCTTGCTAGGTTTTTTTGCCTCAATGACATCCTATGGCAATGCATTTAATCACTTAATTAGGTGTTGTGTGAATAAGTATTTCCTTTTACTGGTTTTGAATGAGGACCTTGGCATTTGTATGTTAAAGTCTATGCAACAAGTCTCCATCCTGAGTTTAAGTGCAAATGTTTTTAGTTTAGATTGAATATTTGATTTTTTGATTTTTTTTAAAACCCTCTGTTTGTTGTATTTGTCATTTATTTTTGTCAATAAATATTTGTATGTATTTTTATTTTATGTTTACTTGATATGGAAAGTTTGAGGCAGGGCAGCTAAAGTGCAGTTATGGTCAGAAAATTGACTATAGACAGTAAGTTTCCATGGGGTGAGTTTTGCCCTTTTTTGAATAGTCGTAATTTTCACTGAAGACAATTCATGGGCATTGCACTAGTGCAAATGATTGTAGAATGTTACCTTTTTGGATATTTCCAGAACACCCAATCATCAGTAACTAGGTATAAGATACCTAGCACATCTTGCTCAACAGATCTTCTTGTGTATTCCAAGTCTCAGCTTAGCTTTCTGATGAAAATAGGTGTTTACTACCTTTTGGCTCCTGTCTGCCATGCAGAGCAGCAACAAGCAAGAAAGAGTGAGCTTGATTCTGTCCTGACATGTATATAATCTAAAGAATTGCTAGCTAAACTTCAGTTACAGCATCTTTAATATTGGAGCTGATGTGGGAACCAGAACTACACAATTTGTCTTTCATACCTCAGCTTCAGTTTACAGAGGGGGAAAAAATCTTTTTGTTTGTAAACTCAGCATCTTTTATATGAAAGCTATAGACAAAGAGCAAACATGAATCCCCCCTTCCCACCTCCATGGTCTTTTCAGAATCGCTTTTACAGTACAACCATGCTTTAAAATACTATTACTTTACAAATAACAGTTGTCACACAGTCAATGGCTTTCTGCCACAAATTCAAGAATTTCTTTGCTCCAAATTTTATCACGTCTATGCACGGTTGAAATGACCCAATGACCACAGAATCCTAGGGGACTTGACTATCATGTTCAGATATAACTATTGTGTTTTTTTATGGATACATTTCCCTGATGGTCTATTATTTTAATTCAGTTTAGATGTTTCCTTGATGCTCTTCAGAGAGAGAAATAGTTAAGGTAGTGCTATCATTATAATTCATTATTTGGAGAACATTTTCTGAGGGGCAGAGGCCCAGTCACTCTTTGAGTGACCTCAGTTTGAGCCTGTATTTTTTCCCCACAAAATGAATTGTGCCTCGGACTACCTGATTTTAGCTTGTAAGCATGGAGTTAGAAATGTATGTACTCAGATTTATAACCACAATCAAATTACAGGTACATATTTTGGATGAAAATTGAGCCTGCAAAAAGGTTACCCTTTTGAAAATGTGACCCTCTATTCTTTTTAATTCTGTTTTTTTACCTGATTTATTTATTCATTTTGTAGCTAAAATTCTTTTGCACATTGTACTGCATACAAAGCAATTATCAGTGTTTTCAACATACATTTTAGGTGATCTAGTTTTATGACAAGGACATGTCAGGTTTTAAATATTGGTAAGCCGCAGTCATAATAACTCATTGAGTCACACACCAGTAACCAGGAAAATAAATAATTTGATGCAAAGAAGCAGTAGCATCTGACCAGCACATTTTATTTCTGCCAGGGGAGGAACAAAATAAAACGAAAAACAATAATTAACTCATGGAGTTGTATTTTTGTGAGCCATGTTGATTAAATAGTAATTTTTCTTCACTGTTTCTTTATACTTGCCAATTGAAACCAGTCTTTGCTTATTAGGCTTTGTTTTAACAAAAATTTTGAATTGCTGCTTTACTATGTTTGATTCTTTGAAATAGATGATTTGGAGCTTTATCTGATGCCGACTGAATCCATTAGGAGTCTTTCCATTTCCTTGAGTGGGCACTGGATTGAAGTTTTGTCCATTTGAGCCTGCTACCTTTGAAGATAATGGCTAGACTCCTATAGGCTTCACTTGCCTTTATTTAGGATGCATCTTCCCTCACCATGTGTATGTCAGGGCCGCCCAGAGGATTCAGGGGGCCTGGGGCAAAGCAATTTTGGGGGCCCCTTCCATAAAAAAAAGTTGCAATACTATAGAATACTATATTCTCGTCGGGGGCCCTGTGGGGTCCAGGGCCTGGGGCAAATTGCCCCACTTGCCACCACCCCCCCGCTGCCCCGGGCGGCCCTGGTGTATGTAATACTCATCGATGTTACTATAAATTACAGGCCTGCATCAAAAGGGAAGAATAGACCCCACCGTGCCTGTACCATTATATATTTCCTAGTAAAGTGATATGACAGAAAGTTTCACTAATATTTTTTCTTTATTTCAGGTTTCTTTTCTCCATGGAAAACTCCAAAGCCTGTAAGTTCTCATTCAAAATTACACTCATTTGAATTCATATGTCATTATCATTATAAGGCAAATTTCTTCAGGCTTTTATCTGACTTATATGCCATGAATAACATTACATTTACTTTTCTCCACTACTGTATGGTTGACTTTAATGCCCTGTAAAATAAATAAATAAATAAATAATAGATCATGAGATTTAACCCCTCGTTATATACCCTATTCTATTTTTATTTTGAAGTGAATTCTTTCAAATGAAAATGTCAGTACCAAACACGTTTCATTAACAGATCTGCATCAGTTTTCCCCTTCAAAATTTGCTCCCCCCACACACTTGTAAGAGAAGCAGAATCTTATGAATTTACACATGACTAATATTAATTATTAGGATAATTATGTCTGTAATTTCAGAAATTTAGTTGGTCTTGAAGATATGAGGTTACTTAAAGCATCATATAGGCAATAAAAATTCATCCTTCTAATTACTGTTTTGAGAATATGTACGAGAGTGAATTTGTCTTCCAGTGCCAGCATTTATGTAATGGGGTTACTGTGAAACTATGAAAAAAGATTGCAAACAAACATTGTATTTATTATATTGATCCCCAGTTTTCCTACTATATCATTTTGTTACAGCTGCGTCAGCATTCCCAATATAAAAATATTTTAAACCACTATTTTTGCCTGGCTATATCTGTTGTCTGTCTAGCTTGTCTATTTAGACCGTAAGCTCTTTGGGGCAGTAACTGTCTCTCACTGTATGTATATATATTGCATAGCAAACTGGGCCTCTAATCCCTGGTATGCATAGTTCTGCATAGTTTACATGTCAGCCATGTGATGGGACAAACTCCAGCCACAGTAGGCTGGTCAGGGCTGCTCTGGAACAATTTTTAGGGCATCTTTTCTAGATTGAAGTGGGCCGTGGTGTCTGTGAATAGAGCAGCTGAGCCAATGAAGATATTGCTGAACTACAGTGTCACCCTAAATCAATGCAGAGCAACCAAAATCTTGACTTATTCACATGTAGGTTCATGACTATGACTCCCAACAATGTCCATCACCTGACACTTGCTGCAGGGTTTATTGGATTAGATTGTCAACGGCTGCACGGGAATTCACTTAAAGTGGACAAGCAATTACATACCAATTTGCACACTCTCTCGGCCAGCAAGACCATTTCAGGGTAAAGCCGAGACAACTGAAAGACTTGCTGGCTGCAGGTTTGTTTTTATCTCTTAGACCAATTGCCAGGCTAATGAACTTGGTCTGCCCAGCCAGAGCTCTGTTAGCCAGGGTGTTTCAGAGTAAATCCTGTAGGCCTTCATGGCTACTATAGCAGTGCAGAGACCAACCATACTTTGAGTTGAAAAGCAATCCCTTACTCAACCTGTTTCCACTATCCCACCACAAGGAGGAGGGGTTGGGCTTGTGGGAGGCCTTTTTTATACCCTGCTTTTAGATCAATTTTATTTCTATTCATTTTCTTATTTTGAAAGATAGTTCTTTGTTTCTCTGGTTCTTTCAAAGAGATTATGAAAATAAGAACGCAATTAGGTTTACTATTTCTATAGATAGATTCCTAAGTGTCTTTCTGTTTCATAATGATAAGTTGTTTGATTTCACTAGTTTCTTTCCTCAGTGAGGGCAGAACTGAATTTAGTGCTCCATTGATCAGGATTCAGACCATTATTCTTCCTGATCACTAAGCACTTGTATTAACTGAGGTCCCTGTCTGTCATCTTTCCTACACTGGCTTTGTCTCTTCTGTCATCTTTCCTACAATTTACAGGCTTTGTCTTTACTAATCTTTGAAGTTGGACATTCTTGACAAAAGACAGGTGCATTTCTCTGTGATTCAGAAGACCGAAATGCTGTGGACAGCCCTTCCTTGACCTGAATTCCAGTGGGCATAGTAGTCATTTCAAACAGCTTCCTTTCAGCTTAATGAAGTTTTATCAGTTTCCTACATTGAGCCTCATATGTGCCTCTTCACAAAACACTTCGGTGTATTATCTTTAGTAGTGGTAGTAAATTTTCCATTGAAACTGTTTTATTACAGAAAACAGTGAGTTTTGACTAAACACATTTTTTAGTGAAGAGTCTGCTTTCCACAGAATTTTTTTATTTTTTTTTGTCAAAAAAAAATAATTTTCAAAACCCAAAACATTTTCAGTTTTCAAATGAAAACTGAAATATTTCAATTTAGATATAACACTATTGTGCCTCATAGAATTTGTAGTTTTTGTTGCTTAGTGTCCCCATTGTACTCATGGGCTGGGCTCCCCAACTGGATTACAGCTACCGTGTTACATCATTGCCAGACATTCCCATAATGCACCATCTCCGTTCACTAAAATAATACACCATGGTGCCTCATGAGAGATGAAGTCCAGCCCAGCTTATAGAAGAGAATGGAAGCATGAGGCATCCAAACGACAACTGTCATGAGACACAGCAGGAGCATGTTTCCAATCAAACAATTTCATTTTTTTTTTGGTGGGGGGGGATTCAAAACCTTTTTTTGTTGTTGTTGTCCTTTTCATCAACATTTTTCACAGGGGAAAAAAAGCCCTTTTCTGACCAGCACAAATTATCTGCGATATTTTGGCTGGCTAGCTTCTGGGTAGGAGCCAGCTGTCTTCATATTCATTGAACTCACCTTTGCAAAAGCAGAGATTGACTCCTTTCTAGATGGAACAGAAGAGAGACATAGCACTAAGTATCCAAGTTAGGAATACATGAAACGTCTTGAATTGCTGCTTGAAATAATATGCCTTGCTGAAACAGTACAGTATTATGGAGTGTAGAGAGTTAGTAACAGAATGTTGGATCATGACACTCCAGCTAATGATCACTAGATGTATTTATTTGGAGAGTGCTCTTGACTCTGAAACTTTACTCCGCACACTCTTGCTATGAAAGAGTCTAACTTTGTTGATTTTCAGGATATATTGCAAAGCTAAACCAGGCATTTTCTGAGGGTGTAGGTTGAAAGAAGGGATGGAGTCAGCGTTCATAGGTTAGACTCATTGTATAACTCTAGTCATTTGCCTTTGATGCCATTTGCAGTAAGGGACTGCTGACACAGCTTCAGTCCCTAGCAGAGTACATGGAGTGGCACTTGGGTGGTTCATTTTTAAGAGTTGTCTACATTAGACATTTTTTACTTGTATTAATTGATTGCCAATTAACTTAAGTCAGCTCACATGTTTGTACATGCTAGCCTAGGCACTTAATGAGAGCTTGCTCCATGCTTGTGGTGTATCTAGACTAGCACATACAAATGTGTTACCTAACAACTTCAGTGGGCATCACAGAATTCAATTTTTGTTTTTTTATAATTTCAATGGATAATATCAAACTTAATTTGTAAGCATTTTCAAATGTTGTTGATTTACATTTTCACAGTTGCAGGAAATTATGGGGGATATCAGACAATAGTTGTTTACTGACAATAGATGCTGAGTATCAAAAAGTTAAAGCTTTATAATTGTTAAAACAAAAATTGTCAAAAATCACATGTCAAAATGTACAAAGTAAATAGCTTTAAACCAAACTCAAAGTTTTCCAGCAGCATTTTTCTTAGTTGGCCTATCTTTACATTTCAGTTATCACTGGTGGAAATATTTTGTCATTGGTTTGTGTGTATGGTGAAATCAACATTTGCCAATAAAAATCTAATTCTTCCAAGCCTAAACTTAATTAGTTATCAGTTGTTTCAAATAAAAACTCTAGTGCAGACATATCTGCAGAAGATAAAATCCTGCTTTCTCCTGCAGGATACCATTGCATCCTATATTATCCCCCCTCTTGTTCATTGTGTATTTGAGGCCTTGCCACTAGGAAGTGTCAATGAGGAGCCCTGGACTTCAGTGCCTTCAACATATCACACACTGCTGTGTATCTCCATCTTGTCTAAACTGTCTGGAGGAATTGATCCCCCTATCCAGTGTGGTACTTGGATGAGAACTAACTCTCTCAAACTCTATCTAAATAAGACTGGAGATGTTTTATGTGGAAGGAAGGAACCAGAAGAAATGACAAGGATTATATCAAACTCCTGGATTGAGGGAGAAACCTCACTTTTCATTATTCAGCTTTGAAATTTGAAGGTGCTATTAAAGTTTGCACTGCAACTGGATGTTCAAGTAATAGTTGTGCCTAGACTACTCTTTTTCATTGGCCTTTGTCTAAAAAGATGCAACCCTTTTTTCCAGTGCAGACCTCCTTACAGTAATCAAAGCCTTCCTCATGTCTACTGTCATGCACTCTATGTAAGTTGCATGTTGGGATCAATCAGCTAATTAGGTTCATGGAGAATGTGGCTGCTTGCCTGTTAAGAGGTGCTTCATGCTTAAGGCATTTCTTAAGATGTTGGTTTTAACCTATAAATCTTGGTGGGCGTAATTCAAAAATTCTTAGTCACACTGAGAGGCACTTATCTATGTGAGTAGCTTCACTGAAGCAAATAGGTCTCTAAGTAAGTGTCACTCAACCTGAGTAGTACTGCAGAATGGGGTCCCAAATAGTGAGGGACTCAGCTGCCTGAGAGCTCACAGCTGTCTTTGTGTGACAAAGATGCAGCTGTCATTGGGTTAAGGGCCTCTGGTTTAAAATAGAGGGATTTGGTAGTAAGGAGCCTTGGATGGGGAATCCTCACATTTGGAAATTACTGCATCCCCTTTTGGTTGGACAGACTCGATTAGCCTTCAAGGAATACTGGAAAGCTCATCTATTTCCCTGGGATTTCCTAGCAGGGTGGGAATGAGGCTCAATCAGACAAGGAAGGCTTTGTACATATATGATGGGTCCATTAAATGGTCAGGAAAGACATGGCTGTTTTTTTTTTAATTATAGCTGTTTCTTCATTTGTTGTGTATTTTGATATATCTATACGCACCAAGACCTTGGAATAAGAACTTTTAATTTAAGTAACTTTAAAATAATATTTAAAGTTCCTTTCATCCCCAAAGATACCCAGAAGATTTTCTAACTTTACAAAATATATGTATATTTACCACACTTGTAACTGAAGCCACTTTCTCTAGAGTGTTTGAAGTAGTCATGGTTTGTGAAAAGATGTTTTAATTTTTTATTTTCTGTATATATTTATTACAGATGATGGAGCGATGGGAGAATCAAGGCAGCCCTCAGACCAGTTTATCTGCTCCAGCTATACCACAGAGTATTCCCTTTCCACCCACCCTTCACAGGAGTTCGTTTCCTGATTCAACAGAGGCCTTTGATCCAAGAAAACCCGACCCATATGAGCTATATGAGAAGTCAAGAGCTATTTATGAAAGTAGGCGTAAGTGAAAGCCCTGTTCACCCTGCTGAGCATTTAATTATTTTAAGCATTTGCCTATGAATGTGTCAAGGCTAACATATTTTATGTAATTATATCTATTGTAGTTTAAAACAACCCACATATGAACCCAATTATTGCATACTATTAAAAATTATTCAAACTCTACCTTGATACATTTATCCTAAAATTGTCTAAATTTTACACATTTACGCTTTGGCTTTCACACAAGTTTGTTTTCTTGCTATTACCCCTCCTCTGTTCTGAATCGTAAGTCCTCAAAGAAGAACAGTATACATCAAAATATCTTCTTTGTAGTTAACTGAAAAGGTGATGCAAATTTACCATTAAATTGTCCTGCTTTTCTTACCCTTAGATTGAAGTTTAAAAAGGAAACTTTTGGTTGGTTGGTTGGTTTTACTTATAGTGATTTTCTGCTAGTTGTTATAGCATACTTGCTGCTAAAAATCCACTAACCCGTAATACCTGAAGACTTATGGAAAACAAAACTCTCTCCAGCTTCTCATCCTTATTTTCTTTTTTCGTGTTCTTAAGGAATATATTGCATGTATTCCACATTAAGGAAAAGACATGTTATCCCATCTATATTTGCTCCCATAACCTTTTAGATAAAAATTGTATACTGTATGTAAACAAGAGCTCTTAAATTAAGAACAACATTTAAATATTATGTGCTATTCTTTAAGATTTTTGTTCTTATAGTCATATCTTATGCTTGTATATAGCACCTTTCACTTTGAAGGCTCTCAAACTAATGTATAAATTATGTGCAAAATGTTGCACTGAATTACACTGGCATAGAACCAGATTAACTCCCTCGCCATCAGTTTGACCCTGTGTATTGGAGATGATCCTAAGCAACAAAGTTCAGATTAAGATTCAGGAACAAACTTTTACAAAGTTTGGGAGTGCCTGATATAGTTTCGTTTCAGAACCACCTCTACTATATATCACTAAAATAAGGGAATTGTTTCAATCACTATTGATATAAAGCCACTCTGAAGTGAAATGTGATAACTTAGTAAATACTCATGAAATCTGTGTTCAGAACATTACATATAAATATCTGAAGGAGCAGAAAGAGAAAGAGAGAATTTAAATTTTGTCATTATCTAATGATTGTGTCAAAGTACCCTGAAGTAGCCCTGTCTCCATCTAAAATCAGTGATCTGGAAATAAGATGTGCATTTCTCAGTCGTGCAGCATAATTACCCACAAGGATAATCTGCACTAAATTCCTTACCCTTCCTCCCCACATTCCATGACAGACTCTCTCCATTCTTTGGCACTGTTTCACTTTGTCACCATTCTTCCATCATCCAGGCCCTTGACCTGGGAGTTATCTTTGACAATTCTCTCTCCATTGATGTACATACCCAGGCTGTGCCCAAATCTTGCTACCTCTTCCATAATAACTTCTCTAAGAGCCAACTTCATCTTTCTGTCCACACAGCTGAATCTCTTGTATAGACCCTTGATTACTGAAACCTTCTCCTATCTGGCCTTTCTTATGCCCACATCACACCCCTACACTCCATTCAAAATGCTGCTGCCAAAACCATTTGCCTCACCAATCATTCTGTATGTTTTATCCAGATGCCTTCTCTGACTATCCCTTTTCCAATGTATCAAGTTCAACCCTTCAAGGTGTTTCACATCTCTGCCCTTCCCTTATCCTCTGTTCTTGTCTCTTATCACACCGCCCGGCATCCCCTCCACTCAGCCAATGATGTTAGCTTTGACTGCTCCCTACTCCGCTCCTCCCAGTACCATCTTTGCACTTTCTTCCACATAGCTCCATATGCACACTACATGTTTCTGAAGTGATACATAAAGCCACTACTCTTTCTTCCACCAAATTCTTCCTCCATGTAATCTATTTCTTCTGTGCTACTTCCAAAAAACAGGCCAATTAGTAATGGATAGGTTAGGGAGTAGTTGGGTATAGTTGAGTTGAGTATTTATTACACAAAATGACAGACAGTGGGCCTGATAAACATGTAATGGAATGGTGAGTTGCCTGAGTGTATAGAAAATTATACACAGTTTGATTGTGTCTTTCTCCTCCCCGCTCTTTGAGTGAGATTTTTCACCCAGCTATGGCCCTTTTTGTGATTCTAAAGCCGGTGAAGAATTTCTCAAGTACAGGCCTTGCATAGGACCATCTTTGGATATCCTGTGCACTCTCTCATGCAAACCCTGGCATATAGGCATGTAGCACTTTGTGCATTCTTAGTAGCCCATCAGTATCCTGGGAGTTTGAAGCTACTTTTGTCCCCACTTCCCCAGTATTGCAAGAGAAGCAGCACAGAATCTCACCCTTTGTATTTTGCTTGTCTTCTTAGGCCAATTTCAAAAACGGGTACCTAAGGTTGGGCTCCCAAGTTCATATATATATATAAATAACTTGCCTGGATTTCAGAAGTGCCGAATATCCAGAATATATGGACTTGGGAATTTAATTTAATTTTAGGCATCCGTTTTTGAAAATTTTGTCTTTAGTTTATAAACACTTTAGGGCAGGAACTGTATTCCTGTGCATATGTGGACAGTGCCTACAATCTTGTGGTTGTTACTTCAATACTGATAATAAATATTCATTAATAATCCAATTTCTTTCACTGTTCTGAAAAGTTATTCTCGATTGAACCTCCTGGCAGCAGTACTTGTAGAAATTGCACTTGAGCTTCTATCTACACTCGTGAGAGATACATACTGTATTTGAAAACTGTTTGAAAATGTGGGTCAGTTTGATTGCAGTGTGGACTAAGCCAAGGAGATTTGAGAAAAGAGTTAGCGGAGCCATATTTGAACAAAGTTTGCAAACAGTTTTTAAACATGACTCTCTCTCAGGGCTTTAGTGGGAAAAAAAAGAAAAGAAAGAATGTCAGTGCTGATATGTTTTTCTCCAAAGCGTTGTCTTCTGAGGAAGACTCTAAAGAGAGGTGAAAGTAAAAAGGGAGTCAGGTTTCAGAGTGGTAGCCGTGTTAGTCTGTATCAGCAAAAACAACGAGGAGTCCTTGTGGCACCTTAGAGACTAACAAATTTGGACATAAGCTTTCGTGGCTAAAACCCACTTTATCAGATGTCCATCATTAACAAGTATTTTGGGTAACTCAGCATTGCTGCTCAAAATATATTTGGCTTGATGTACCATTTTAAGGAGAGAGCAGCCCTTTGCAAATAATTGCTCCCCATATGTGTAGTTTCTATAATAAATGAAGTATTTTAGCAGAGCCCTGCACTTTCAATTCAGCGGAGCCTGAGCAGCCTCTTGGGGTGAAGCCATCATGGCAAGATCTGAAAAGTGCAAACTATAAACTGATTACTTGGCAACACTGAAAAAAATACAGTGAAAATCAGGAAATACGTAAATGAACAGTATGAGATCTGCTTTCATCTTAGGTTCCAATATGAAGAGCTCCATATTTTTGGAGCTAAATAATAGTGGAGGCAAATATCAGGATCAATTCATATTCAGCCCTGAACACGACTCAAATATGAATACAATCCAAAGTCAAGTATAAACATTGGGATAGGGCATTTGTCCCCAAATAGGTGATTTTATACCAAGAAGGAGTTTTTCTCATCCATCAAAAAAAATCTTCTGGGTGAGAGTCCTTAGACTAGGTTTCTAGTTCTCATTGCTCACCACTCCTTCTGCTCTGTGAGTGATTCTAATCTACCATGTTCAGTAGCATATGCCATGCCAGTGTTGTTCCTATCTGGAGAAAAGATAACAATCTTGGGTAGACTTTGACCATATTTGTTTAAATGTTTGGTTTCACTTGAGTTCTGCCCTAATGGCAACTGGAAATTATAGATAATTGTAGACAGAGACATAGAAGTCATGAACCAGAACTGGACCCAAAATGAAACAAGCACACAAGGCTACAGTAACCGTACTTCCCTGTTTGCTGGGAACATCCTGGTGTTTCATGCATCTCTGGAACAAGATATATTGAAACCAGTGTTTTCCCAAGTTTTAATTGATTCTTCTTTGCTTATGTCATCCTTCAAATTTTTTATTTAACGCTTGAGAGCTGAAAACACGTGCATATTCCCCAATCCTAATAACTTAAAATTTTTTCCTCCCACAGTCTTACCCCCACAACCTTAAATCATTCTTCTGAGCCCAGCAGTGTCTCCATTCTTCCTGCCATTTTAGTTCTATGGATGTCATGGACACAGCTCTTTAGCACTTTGAATTCATCAAGCAGATTATTCTTCCCCCCTTATTAATGTATTATGTAATAGATTAATAGATTCCAAGGCCAGAAGGGACCACTGTGATAATCTAGGCTGACCGCCTGTATAACACAGGCCATAGAACTCCTAGAATAATTCCTAGAGCAGATCTTTTAGAAAAACATCCAGTTAATAATCCCTAGAAACCCACTCCAGGCCCTGCTGAAATTTGAACCTAGGATCTCATAGTTACTAGGCAGCACAGCATAAATTCTCATAGAATATTTCCTGGAGCCCCGAGGCTCAGGACTTCAGCCCTGCGGAAGGCACTGGGGCTCAGGGCTTCTGCCCCAGGGGACGCGCCGGGACTCCTGCGGATTTGAAAATATTTACCAGAGCTCTGATCCAGACAGCTCTGGCTAAAGGTAAGCCCTGCTAGACAGGTACATTTAGCCAACTAAGCCACGCACCCTTTTAATTTAAAGGTATAGGACCAACTCAGGCCCCTGCAAGGGGTTATCTGGGATTTGAATCCAGGACCTCTCATACCCAAAGCGTGACTCATACCCGTAGATCAACAAACTGGCAATGTGAAAAACAAAGTGCAGGGAACCTGTTAACCAGTCAAAGGATTGTCAGCTAAAGTGGAGGTTGCGGGGGTGGGGAAAGGGTTTCAAAATAACACACACCAAGCCTCATAGCAGATGGTTGTGTCAGTTTGATACTCTTCATCATGCTTACACTTAAAGTTTAAAAGAAAAGTTTAATTACATTTATAGAAAAAGCACTCATCC